CTCCACCACGCGCAGAACCTGGCACCCGACCTCGGGCCTGAGCTGTGCCCTCTGTCCAGAGCACCCTCCTACCTTGTCCTCCCCTGGCCCCGGAGGCCTGGCTGCGGCGCTGCCTCTTCTACTCCTGCCTAGACCACGGACTCCCCCATGCCCTCCCCAACACAGGCTCCAGAAGGGTCCTCCCAGCCTCTCCCTCCCTAGCTCCAAACCCTGCCAAGGCTCCTCTGAGCCCAACTTTGGTTTGCCCTAATGTCCTGCCCCCTCCTGCCCTCCCACATTATGCTCCAGCCACACTGTTCCAAGAACTAGGTTCTGCCTTTGGCTATCTGACAAACTCTCACACATCCTGCAAAGCCCCAGCTCCAACGCCCCTTCCTCTATGCAGCCTTTTCCTCAATCCCCTTTAGCCCAGCCCTAAGCCCTCAGGGTTGGGAGTACCTGTGCCCAGTACTGGCTCCCACCAACCTGGGGGTCTCCCAGGCAGGATGAGGAAAACGTCTGCCACCCCCTCCTTGCAATTCCAGCTCCCTACACCTGCCCCACACGGCCCCAGCCAACTCTCGTGAGCCCAGAGATGTTCGCTGTGGCACTGTTCACAACAGAGAAACAAAAGCTTGACGTGCTTGTGCCCAGCCAGATGAGAAAAAACTACAGTAGTTAAAGAGAAGCAGGTGGCTCAGGACACTCCAGTAACGATCTGAACAAACCCCAGAAAAACAGCACATCAAACTCAGCATCAGGTGGAACCTTCCCGCCCCCGCCACAAAGATCACATCTTAGACACCCCATGGGCCACGTTCCTGGGTGTCCGTGGGTAGGGACAGGCCTGGGGAACCTGTGGGGTCAGTGTGCAGCTCAAGGGTCATGGCAAATGGTCCCTTTGGAACCAATGGTGGATTTTTAAAACCTATCAATGTGCATTTCCCACAATTAAAGAAATCTAAATGATGTCCACCCGTGGTGGCTCACGCCTGCAGTCCCAGCTACTCGGGAGGCCGAGGCGGGAGGATAGCTCGGGCCCGGGAGTTGGAGGCCGCAGTGAGCTGTGATTGCGCCACTGCACTCCAGCCTGGGCTTCCCCCAAACCCCACAGCCACGGGCTCCCTGGGCCATCCCTCCGCAGGGCATCCTGGGGTCAAATCCCACCTCTGACACCTCCCCCACATGACTATAGGCAAGTGACTTGCTCTCTCGTGCCTCGGTTTCTCCCTCTGCACAACGTGGACAAGAGCAGTCCCCTCTTTGTGGGATCAGGTGAGGAGACTGGAGACAACACATATAAAACACTCAGTCTGCTTCCTGCGCATAAACGACTGTGTTTAAAAACCAGCTAGTGCTGTCGCTTCCACACTTCTGAGCTGTCGGCCGGCTCTGTGGTGAGCAGACTTTACCCTGGGAAGCAGGGGAAAGAAATCCCAACATTTAATGCAAATTAAAACCATAGCGAGAAGCCCCACCACCCCCACCAGGAAAGCGAGAATCAAAAAAGTCGACAGCAAGAAGTGTTGGTGAGGATGCCGAGGACCCGGAACCCTCCTACAGAGCTCGTGGGAACGTGCCATGGGGCGGCTGCGCAGAACAGTGCAGCGGCCCCCTCTAACGGGCACACACGGAGTCCCCACGTGACCCAGCAATTCCACTCCCAGATACACACCCGAGTGCAACGAAAACATACGTCCACTTAAAAACTTGTGCGGCATCACAAAGCCAAAAGGCAGAAACAACCCAAGTGTCCATTAACGGATAAGCAGATAAACTCAACATGGTCCATCCACGTGTGGAATATCACTCAGCCACAAAAAGGGACGAGGCTCTGACACAGGCCACAGCGTGGAGGGACCTTGAGGACATCGTGCTCGGTGAGAGACGCCAGACACAGAAGGACACACAGTGTGAGACTATTTACATGAAATGTCCAGAACAGGCAGAGCCACAGAGACGGGACGTGGATTCGTGGTCGCCAGGGGCTGGGGGGGATGGCAGGATAGGGGAATGACAGCTAAAAGGTACGGATTTTATTTGTGAGTTGATAAAAAATGCTCCAAAAATGAACTGTGGTCTTGGTCGCACGTATCTGTGAAGATACTAAAATCACTGAATTGTATACCTTAAATGAGTGATTTCTACGGCGTGTGAGTTATATCTTAATAAAGCTCTGTAAAAAAATTATTTGAAATGTACTCAACGCTTAACTTGAATTGAGACTAAAGGTTCGAATCCCTAAGTGGCTAAAGATCTGTGATTAAGGGTCTGTGGGTTTAAAACCCCACCACGGCCACGTTCTGCAGCCCGGGCATGGCCGCGTCGGGGACAGGATGCTACATCCAAGGGGCAAGGTCCCCATTGCAACCCGCGGATCCCTGGCCGGCCTCCCTCAGTGCGTCCTGGGCTCCAGTGGCGCGGTTCGAGGTTTTAAAGGAAAGCGCCAGTGGCTGTGAGCCCATCCCTCCCAGTCCCTCCCCAGCTTGGCTGGCTGTCCCCCAGCCCCACAGCTGTCAAGGATCTGCAGGCGGAAGGGAGCCCCAGGCCCTGCCAAGACCAGGGAGGAAGATGAGGACGCCGTGCCAAGTGGGCCGCCAGCCGGCCAGGGCCGCCACGTGCCAGGAAGGGGGTGGGGCAGGCGCCAGAGTCAACACGGCCCCAGCCAGGGGGGGGCCCAACATCTGCTGGGCTGGCTGGACCCAGGCCACTGTTGACACTGGCTGCACAGGTGTCTGGCCAGCTGGGCAGGAAGGCGGCACAGGCAGCTGGACCTGCCGCCAACACCCCAGGACTGCAAGGCTGCCCCGCCTGCCCATGTGCTCCCTTGGCCCCCATCCCCTGGGAGCCCGATCCCACCTCCCATGAGACCCAGCCTGGTGGCGCTGCATCAACCCCTACACAAGAGTCAAGCCCAGCCCAGCCTCAGGGCCTTTGCACAGGCTGCTTCCGTTGCTCCCGTGGGTGTGTCCGGCTCCTTCTTGCCACACGAGGCTGGGCCCCCAATGTCACATTCGGACCTGCGTCTAGAGCTGAAGCTGTGAGGGGTCTTCCCACCCCCTGTGGGGGCCACCTTACTGTCACCCGTGGCTTGTTCACCGAGCTCAACACCAAAACACTAGCCCCTGAGGGTGTGCACCAGAGGAGACCACCTTCAGGACACTGAGGCTCCCGCCCCCAGCCTCAGTTTCCCCACCTCAGCTTCCTGCTGCAGAAGAGCCCCCAGATGGCCCTGGCGTCCGCGGCACCTATGACTCCAACCCCAGCGTCCCCCAGACAGACTGGACAGTGGCTCCTGCGGTCGGCCTTTGTTCCTGGCACGCGGAGGCCCTGCCTGGTCTGGCCTGGCCACCCAAAAACTCCCCCGTCAGCGTCGGGCCTTGGGGGCCACCTGGGCAGGGCGTGCGGGCTGGGTCCTATCGACCTCCGACCGTACCAGGCCTTGACCTCCCTCTGGGCCCAGCCGTGACCCTGCAGGGGTGGAGGTGCCTGTTCAGCGCCCGCCGCCCCCCAGCCCGAGGCCTGGATCCAGGGCAGACGGCAAACGGATGAACGAACACATATACTTAAACGTAACTCGCCCTCGAACGTGCCCCTGTCACCTTAAACTCAGAGGATGTCGGGAACCCCACGCCAGGAGACGCCGCCCTCCAACCCTGAGCCCTGGTTTTCTCACCTGCGAAATGGGGGCAGCGGCAGCGCGGCCCCTTCTGCAGGGGAGAGGGAAACCGAGGCACAGGGCAGGGTGGAACCCACAAGTGGCCCACCGCACTTGCCCGAGCACAGGCTCAGGCCCAGCTCCACACGCAAGGACGCAGCGCGACCCCAGAGCCTCCCCTCGGGGCCGCGCGTGGGGGGCCCAGGCACGCCGCCCAGGGGAGACGCCTGCCGGCTGCCGTGCTCAGCACCTCTGCCACGCTGGGACCCAGAGCCCCACCTGGCCCCGGCCTCGCCAGGGTGGCGCCCACCCCTGCAGCACGGGCCCTCGCTCTCCACGCTCCCGCCTCCATTTCAGTCATTTGCCAGTTTTCGGCCCAAACGTGAAGTCTCTTGAGGGCTGCAGGGGCTAGAGCGCCCTTTCCCATGGGCTGCCCAGCGACACTCAGAGCAGGGAGCCCCCAAGGTGGCCTCAGGCCAATCCTGGAGGTCCAGGTTCCAGAGGGGGCCACCCTGCGCTGCGGCTTGAGTCCTGGGCCAGAGGCGAGTTCCCACTGGCCGCCCTCCGGGGAGGCCAGGGCAGGGCCCAGCTGGCCGAGGGCTGGAATGTGAGCCCGCCGGCCGCCCGGCCGCCATCTGGTTTCCATCTGCCCAGCCCAGCACGGCCCAACTTCAAAGGATCTCCACCCGGCCACTTCCTCTGGCCCGGCTGCCCGCGGGGAAGAGCCAGGGCAGCCCCTGCTTCCTCCTTGCCCCTCCCGGGGCCCAGGGTCCCCGAGACCCCCCTACCAGCCCTGGCACCAACCACCCACTCGGAGCCTCTAGAGTCCTGGCTCCTGCTGTCCACCCCAGAACCACGCTGGAGCCACCCCAGCGTCCCCTTGGCCGTCGCCTGTGGCCGGCAAACCCCCACAGCTCTCCGTAGACTGGACTCCACCAGACCAATGGCCCGGCACCGTGTCACCGAGGCCGCCAGCTCTCTGCCCACATCCCTGGGCTCCACCGACAACATGCGCCAAGCTCAATCCTGCCCGGCGCTCCCCATTCATTCGCACAGCAGAGCGTCTACCGGCCGGCGCATCCCTCCCACGAGACGGAGTGAAGCCCGGGCTTCCCCGGGATCCCGGCACCAACTCCACGCCTGGCATTCGGCAGCGCTCAGGAACCGCACCCGACTGCAGGACCTGGCAGCTGCCAGCGCTTGTGCCACGCCGCCCACCTGTTTGAACTGCTCCTCGTATGTCCAGTCCCCGTGGTCTGGTGGCTGCAGCTGGGGCGCCACGTGGGCGGCCCCCCCGGGGTGGGCAGGGCTAGGCCCCGGCCGCTCCTGGCCCCCCAGTGCCCTGGGAAAGCCGTCGCCGCGGAAGGCCTGGGGCGGCTGGGCCTTGCGGGGGAACAGGGCAGCAGAGCCCAGGCCGGCAGGGCCCCGGGGCCCCAGCCCCTCCTCATCCTCCTCCTCTTCTTCGTAATCCTCCTCCTCCTCCTCCTCTTCCTCCTCTTCCTCCTCCTCCTCCACCAGGTCTTCCTCAAGCTCCTCCTCCTCTTCCCATTTCGGCTTCCTGGGACAGGCAGAGCGCAGGAGTCAGGGGAGACGGCACCAGTGCCCACCCAGGGCAAAGTCCCCTCCCTGTCCCAGCCTTGGTTTCCCTGACGACAGGGAGAACCAGACCCCACGGGCTCAGGCTGTAGAAGGCCTGCGTGCACAGCTGAGCAGAGCACTGGCCATGCCCGTTTTGTCCCCTATTAGTCCAGAATGGCATGAGCTGCCCCTTCATCCTGAACCCCAGGCCCTCCCGGCCTCCCAGACACCCAGCTCAATCCTGCCCCCCAACCCTGGCTCCAGCCGCACAGGTGTCCTCGTGGGGCGTCAACACCATTGTGCCAGGCCGGACCCTGCCTCAGGGCCTTTGCTCATGCGGTTCCCGCTGCCAGGCATGCTGTTCCCTCCACCAGGGCTGTCACCTTCCCTCACTTCTACCTAAAGCCAGCCTCGCCCCCCACACCCCCACGGCACCTTTGCTGGTTTTCCCTGGCAGCCCCTCGCATGGCCTGCCACCACCTGCTTCTCTGCCTGCTAAAGGTCTTCCCAGAAAGCTGCAGATTCCCTGAAGTGAGGCCGTTGGGGCCTCAGCATCCTGCAGGTCCCTGTGGGACACGCTCTCTGTGCAGGCCCCGCCAGGGCTTCCAGTTTTCTCTGCCCCCGCCACGGAATCTGCCATAGCCACGTGTGGCCAATTGTCTTAAAGTAACTAAAGTAAAATAAAGTTAAAGACCCAGATCAGCATCCACATTTCAAATGCTTGGCAGCCACGTGTGACCGGAGGCTCCCGTACCAGACAGCACGGAAAATGTTTCCATCATCACCTGGAAAGTTCTACCACCTGGCACTGCTCCTGACACCAGCCCCAGAGGATGGGGCTTTGTCTCTCCTTCAAGGCTGGGTCCCGGGGCCCAGAACTGCCCGGCACGCGCCCATTTTGCAGATGAGCAGAGTGAGGCTCAGAGCCCCAGGACGCCCCTGCCCCCCAGACTCAACTCACAGGTCCTCGTCCGAGCCCAGCTCCTCGAAGTGCTCGTCTCCTGGCCCTTCCCTGCCTCGGCTGGGCTTGGCGGGTGAGCCCAGTGCCCCCTCCCGGGCCATGTCCTCATCCTCAGAGCCTGGGGGCCCATCCTCAGAGCCGCCAGGGCTGGGTGGATGTCCAAGGCCGGCGGCTGCGGCCCTCATGGCGGCCAGTGCAGCCATCTGGGCCCGCTGCATCCGCACATCAGGCTCTCTGTCCTCGTCCAGGGCGGCCCGAGCCCGGGCCGGGGGGCAGGCAGGGGTGTCAGGTGGCGGCTGCTGCCGGGCCTCCAGCTCCTGGCGCGCCCGCTGCTGCCGCTGCAAGAGCGTCTCCATCACAGCCTGCAGCTTCATGGCCCTGCGGGCCGGGCCACCACCACCCCGGCCACTGGGGGTGGGCGGCGGGGGCGGCCCCTGCGGGGAGGGGGCCCGGCCACACTGCAGCGTGGGGGCCGCGGGGGAGCCGGGGCAGTGCAGGGTGGCGGGGGGGTGGGGGGCGGGGGCCGCCGGGCTCAGGCTGAAGGCTGGCGGGGCATGCCTCCTCCTCACGCCAGGCAGCGGGGGGCAGCAGCTGGCAGCTGGCTCATCCACGTGTTTGCAGAGACCTAGGGGCGGCAAGAGAGACAGACATCAGACCTTGCCTAGGTCCCTCAGCCCCCTTCCTGCCAGCGAAGGCCTCTGGGAACACCCCCATCCATGCCCGGCAGGATGCAAACCTGGGCGCCTCCCTGGAGGCGGAGGCACTAGCTCTCCCCATCTGCCCCCCTCTGTTGGCCCTCCAGTTGGCCTGGGTAGCGGGGTCACCCCACTGTACCCCGAAGGTCTCAAGGCCCCCGCCCGTCTGGGCCACAGAGAAACACGCTGTCGCCAACTGTGCCTGCCTGGGGCAGATCCCAGGTTACTGCTTCATAAGCAGGGTAGCGGGGACCGGCATTCCTGGGCTCGGATTGGCCAGCCAGCTCCCAGCCTAGAGGCCCTGGGGGTTCTGCGTTCCGGTTCTGAGTTCCAGGTCCTGCCTGAGCCCCTGCTGTAGCAACCAGGCCCAGACATCCTCCCGTCTCAGGCTAACAGACAGTGAGCACTTGCTGTATACAGCCCTCCCCCACTCATGCAACTCATACCGACAGCAACACCTAAGCCTCAACCTCTCTGGACCTCGGCTTCCCCACCTGCAAAACAGCGTGGACGGCGGCATCCACCTCACTGCACCCAAGTAGGGGTGCACGGCGGGAAAGAAGGCACCAGGCCAGTCCCCCTTTCACAGATGAGGAAAAGTGAGGCTCAGAGATCCCCTACTCAGGACGCACAGGACTGGGATGTGAACTGGGGTTTGGGTGACGTCAGAGCCTCCCACGCTGCCCCCACACTCTCTGCAGGGAGGGGGGCCCTGGAGTTCCCCGGTCCTCTGGGATCCCAAGTGGGCCAAATGTCTCAGAGTGCAGCACGCTCGCCCCAGCCAGGGGTCCCTTGACCCCTTCCAGGGACTTCCAGGACCTCCAGGACCTGGGTCCCGCCCCAGCCCCCACCCCATCCCAGGTCACGCCCCCATCCGCCCAGGCACCCAATAAAACAGACAGGGCAGAACCCAACAGGCCCAGGTGTGACACCCCAAGGTACATCCTGGGGACAGTGGGGGTGGCAAGCTCCACCCTCCTCCAAGGCAGAAGGGTCCAGAAGGCTACCCCTAACCTCTAACCTGGAAATGGAACCCCCAAGGCTGAACGACACCTCTTGCCAGAGAGGGGAAGAGGAAGAGTCTGGGGTGTAGTCACCTGGTGGGGCAGAGGCTCCTAATAGCCAGCTGAGCTCCAGCCCCGCTGGTGAGCCGCTGAGAGACCTGAACCCACCCTGGGAAGTCTTGTCTTGCAGTATAGACTCACTACCACCCCCCCAGCCTCCCCAGTGACAAGAGGGGCCCCTGCAGAAGCCACAGGAGGGAGCCCAGAGGCCGCCCTCCTCCCCAGACACCCTTTACCCAGACCCCTGGGTCTTCCAGCCTCTAGGGTAAAGACGTAGTGGGTAGAAGGGCAGGTAGGTGGTCTCTGCGAGAAAGAGGGAGAGGGTGCACATCCCCAGATAGCCTCAGTGTCCCGGGGCACAAAGACCTCAGGGGCCCTGGCGCTGGGGAATGACCATGGGGCCTGGTCCTCCAGAGGCAGCAAAGGCAGCACCCAGCCCCCCACCCGCACCAAGAAGTGCTGAGGGGACATTTCTGGCCCAGTGTCTGGTCTGGTCCATTGCCCCTCCCCCACATTTGACAACTTCAAGACAAGCCCCCCCCACGGAAATGCTCCAAGCAATGCCCCCCCTCTTTGGGGGGGGCAGAAGGAAGAGGCCAGAGGAAGCCACTCCCCCCCACCCACCGCCCTCCCAGGCCTGGCGGGTTTAATGACCCTTCCGGGTCGCCTGGTGGGGGGAGGGGAGCAGGACAGGCTTCCACGTAGGGGCCGGCAGAGGGGGCAGGTGGGAACCCCAGAGCCCCCCTAGGCCAGGCCTGGGCCGCCCCCCATCGCCGCCATTAACCCTAAGCAGTCCACGCCCACCCCCTCCAGACCCCTCCCCCAAGAGCCCTTTGTCCTCGGCCCCCACCCCCATTTTATGACAGCCCCACGGGAGAGGCGTTCCCAGGCAAGGACCAGGGGTGCTGGGTGGTCGCTGGGACCTGGCTGGGGTTGGGGGGGTGGGAGGGACCCAGAGCCACACCCTCCTCCCCCCACGCCAGTCGGAGGTGGGGGGGAGGTCACCCGCTCAGGCCGGGCCTTGCAAAACACGGTTATTTAAAGAGTTGTGCAAGGCCGGGGCCCGCGGGTGGCGAAAGGGGCCCCTCACTCCACGGAGGGACGAGGGGGGAGGGGCGGGGCCGAGCGCTGGGGAGGGGGCTTAGCAAGTGGGGGGGGCGCGGAGGAAGTAAGAGAAGAAAAATTCAAGAAGGAAAAGAAACAGGACGACAAAAACCCGGGTCCGGATTTCAAAAGCTTCTTGGAAAGCGGCCGATTTGCATGGGGGGGCACCCCCTCCGGGCCGGGGACGAAAAAGGGAAGAAAATCGCCGAGCCCGGGGTCGCCACCGACGTTGGGGTTGACAAACGCGCGTTCCCCGCGCTTCCTGCGTCCACTGCTGTGGGGGGGGGGAGCTCCGAAACTGGGGGGAGGTCTTCCCTGGGACCCCCGCCCGGGCGCTGAGGCCGGAGTCCCCAACAGGGGCCCCTGTCTGCGCCCGAGCCGCCACTTTATAAATAAACCGCCCAGGCTGGGGAGGGTCTGCGGGAGCTGCCCTCCCCTCGGGGCTCCCGAATAAACGCCCGATTTCGGGGAGGAAAATGAAATAATGAAATAATAAAGTCTCGGGGTGCAGCCCCCGGCTCCTGATCCCAGCTCGTTTCCTTCCGCTGGGGAGGGTGGGAGCGCGCGCTCGCGACCCCCGATCTCCCGCGCGACCCTGTGCGACCTGGAGGAGGTGAAGTCCCCCAGCGCTGGGGGCGCAGAGAAGTCCCCCAAACGCCCAACCGCGCCCCGCCAGGGTCGCCTGCCCAGCCCCGTACCCACCAGCGCCTCTGCCCAACTTCGGGGACCCCCTCCGCTTGGCTTCCAGGGCGCAGCTCGCCCACCCCGGGCCCGGAAGCAAGTGGCCCCCCAGCCGTACCGCGCGAGCCGGCCCGGGCGCCGCACGCCCCACGCCCGCCGCCCGCCCTGCCCGGCCCCGCTGGCCTCCCCGACCCGCCGGGCTGCGCCGACTCACCGAGTCGCCGGCCGCGGCCGCGTCTACACCCCCCTCCGCCCCGATTGGGACGAGTCTCCCCGCGCGCGCCGGCCCCCCGCCCCGCCCCTCCCCCATCGGCGCTCGCCGCCCCACAGACAAATCACCGGGTGACAAATCGCTCTCGGATGCAAATACCTCGCCGGTGATTCAGCGCCGCAGCCGGGCGCGGGGGAGCTCGCGAGGCCCCCTCCCTGCTCCCCGGACGCCCCCTCGGCCCCCGGGCTCGGCCCCGCGTCGGACGACTCCCCGAGGGGCGCTGGGGACCAGGGAGTGCACGGGGATTTTTCAGGTCGCGGCCCCTTTAAAGGATAATAAATAATGAAAGGAAAGGGGGAACATCGCCACGGGACGCCCCGCCCCCGGCCTAGGGAGCGTCGGCAAAGTGCGCGCCGCGGCCGGGAGCGCAGAGGGCGCCCAGATCGCGGACGGAACAGGGAGCGCCAGAGGGGAAAGGGATGGAGGAGGAGGAGAGGGTCGGGCCTCCGCCCGGACGGGCTAAGGATGGCGGGGGGACCCGCCTGGCGTTCGGGACCCTCTCCGCGTCTTACCTAGCTCGTAGGATGGGCCTACTGGGCTCGGAATTTCACCTCCGTCCCTTAGATGGAGCCACGGGGAGGGAGTGACTTCACCCCCCCCACCCGGGTCTCGGTTTCCAGGACTGTGAAATGGGATTAAAGACTTGGGAAGATCCGCGCTTAGGGACAGGAGCTGATCGCGGGCGGGGCCGGAGGGAGGCAGCGGGGCCCGCCTAGGGGGCGCGCGCTGGGGAGGCGTCTGGGGAAGAGCCTGGGGAGGGGTCTCGGGGGACGCTCCCTACCTCGCACTGTCGCAGCCGCTGGGAACCTGGCAGCCCACCAACTGGGCGGGCTAAGAGGATCACCCTCGCGACAATCACAATTTAATAGTAATTTCCACGTTTGGAGCCATCGGTGGCCCGACCATGTGCCTGGGGCGTGCAGTCCATGCATTTGTTCAACCTTCACGGCTCTGAGTAGCAGAGAGGCTCCTTGTCTCCATTTGGCAGAGCGGGAAACTGAGGCACTGAGCGGGGTGCGGGGGGGCCGGTGGATGGGGGGCGGTTATGGGCTCAGCGGGGAGCTCTGCACTCTAGAGGCGACCCTAGGGAGCTCATCGCGGGGGCCCTGGCTCCAGCCCAGTGGGAGCGTGGAGGGCGCCCCAAGGACCACCACTCACCTCTCGAGGGTCCCTATGGGCGGGGCTCCGGCCCCTGGTCTTGGGTGCTGGGGGGTCGTGGGCAGCCCCTCTCCTCTCCTAAGGCACAGGGCATCGCCACTTCCTCTAGGCCCTACCCCCACATTGCACCTCCTCCCCCCGACCCATTGCAGGCCACTCTCTCGCAAAGTCCCAAGTCCAGGCTGGAGGGGTGGGCTCCGGAGAGTTGCCCCCGCGCCCACCAGGGCCACGTGTAGCGCAACAGCAGCAGGTGCCTGGGAAACCTCCACCTTCAGTCTGCCCCCCAGATCTCCAAGGCGAGCCCCCTCCCACCAAAGATGGAGCACTTGCAGGCCAACAGACCGGAAATGACCCCTTTCCCCACCTGGGAGGCAGGTGCGCTGGGCCTCTTTGGTACCTCA